CTAAACTCATTTAAGCTTTGCCAGTTTAAACATTTAAGAGCCAGAGGACGCGAGCTCACGCGCGCAGTGAGAAGATTTGTGCGTGCGCTCATCCGAAGCGCGCAAACCCGCGCCTCAGAACGCGCGCAAATATTAAGCTCTCTGAAGTATTGTTTAAATGGACAAATTTACACAAAAATTATGTCAAAATGCCCGTCTTGGTAAGTATCCAATAGCAGAAATAGCCGACTGAATGTACTGTATCAGTACACTGGATCAGTGCATTCTCTTAAAGACTTTTGAAGCCAGATTGGTTGCTGTCCAGGAGGTTGTTCTGTTTGAGAAAGGCTGAGACTTGGTTGAACGCAACTCATTCAAGTGTTTTTGCAATGAAAGGTAGAAGGAAAATTGGTCTGTAGTTCTCTAAAAGAGTTGGGTTAAGAGTGGGCTTCTTAAGAAGTACAAGTAGTAGGAAAGAGAATGATTCAGAAGCGATACTTAGGTGCCTTGCTGGTGTCCCTGCTCGGTGGAGTCGAACGGTAGAGTCACGCACAACACTGACAAGGTACACGATACAGTAGAGACCAAAACAAAAAAAACAAAAAAATATATATATCTGGTTGTCCCTCTCAGTGAATTTTTCATGGTAAAATCCAACCTGCAGTGTTTCACTAAATGTTGGTGAGAATCCTCACGCTCATCATCTGCCACCTCTGCAGATAAGCTAGTAACGTAGTGTAATTTAGTGACACACAGAGAGAAAATTAGACAGTGGAACACTTTTTATTGTGGTTTACCAGCGGAGACAACAGGACAATCAGTACCTGTACAGTCAAAAAAAAACGAAAAGGTCTGAAGCTGACATAGACAGAAAATAAACATAGGTACGGCATACACAAGATGGAAAGGGGCCATTAAACTTTGGTGAAAATGATCAAAAATGCTGGCGGTAGCTGGCAACTTAAAAAAAAAAAAACCGCTGGTGGGGAAAGATTTAACAGGTGTTGGACCACTCTCTAAAACTCACTAGTATCATATATCGTACATAAAACTCAGAGACGCTCATGCTGATCCATGTCGATAGGTGGCAGTGCATCTCCTAACATCATTGTGATATCGGTACATAAACTACACAAAGAACAGCAATGCTAAAGCTAACTAAAGAACTTCTGAATGCACCTTTAAGAGGGTTAACATCATTTACAGAGAAACACATTCTTTAGAAATCATTTGGAACTCAAAAACAATTAAATACATCAACTGCATTCAGTAAATGGTTATCTCACAAGTTAGCACATTATCTTTGGCGGCCCTAATTTTGATGTATTGCTTTGTGTATAGTAGACGGTACGGTGAACAGCAGCACCACTGCCTCCCAGTCATCCTCTATTAACGACATCTCGTCCATGTCGACGGAGCAGACATTGGCCTCAGACACCGACAGCTCCTGCATCGACACCCTCACAGGACCGTTAGAGGAGTGACTTCCACCTCCCCCGTATCCACGCCTGTGTGGGCCATGCTGTGGTCTTGACTGAAGAGATCTGTGGGTGCACGTTCATACAGCTTCAAGATTACACTCGTAGTCCTTCACTCTTGCTTTTAAGGGGCTGTTTTTCCCTCTGTCGCATCTTACATATACAGATATTTGTGTAATATTAGCCTTTAGACAGGTCTGTTGTGGCTAAAGCTCAGATTGCACACCAACAGCGACTTAATTCTGTCGCGTTTCATCAAAAAAAAATTTGTTTAACTGCATCTTCACAGTTTTATTTTAGATTTTTAAAATAACTCCATTTATAAATGGGCAAATAATAGGTTTATGCTTTAATGCATTCACATTTCACTTCATATAAACGAATATTAATTAATCTAGTGGCGTTATTGCAGCAGCATGTGTAATATCTGGATTTATCCCTGTCATTTATGTCCTCTCTCTCTGTGTGCGATGTAGCTTTTATTACCATTCATTTCATCATCTAAAAGAAGCACAGATATAAATTCTTGGACAACTTTATAGCTAGTCAGCCCCTTTGGAATGAGTTCCTGTTTCAAGTATTGCTGCATGATATTAACAAAGAACACTTACTAGACAGACAATGTAACTACAGATCACTGAAATATGTCTAAACACACTTAGAAACAGAATAATAGTGCCTGCCTCTGTACATAGTCACCATACCCCCATTTTAAAAGAGAACTTGATGCTTTTCAGTTGGTTAGGGTGTAGTCATGTGTATATATACGTACATAGATTTTGTGTAAATGTTTTGTCAGTTTTTCTTTCTTTATGCTGTGGAAAGTATTTTACAGCTTCTGAATATGCTTTAGCATATGCACTGTAAAACAAAACAATGTAGATGGAACTTGAAATCGATTTAAAAAGAAAAGTGCACATAGATGTTTAAAAGTGATCATATTCTGTTTAAAATGCACAAAAACTTGCATCTAGATATCAATTGGAAATTTGTCATTAATCAATCAAAGCCCTGTCCCTCATTCCAAGAGTAATTGATCACCGCTGACAAGTTCATGATGTATCTTGTAAGTTTGTACATTTAATTGCATGAGCTAATGCAAACCATTGCCTTTTTTAATCTTCTCCAACTTGAAAAGCCCATAAGAATGTTGTACAAAGTAAATTTATGGTTTCTTTCGGTCTTTCTTTTTTCTTTTTTAACTTGTCAGCAGATTATTTCTTCAGTTTCCTCTTCTTGAAGATGTCCTTTCAGTGAAACACTGAAGGATTTTCATGTTTGTATGGATTATCAAGGCCATATAATTTCATTTCCTTTATACATGTCTCTATAGCATTAGGTTACTGTTTGCAGACTTACGATTCAGTGATGTACTGTGGGTAACCATGCAGTTACAGGCCTGTTTTGGACTGTGATTCTTTAACAGTATATTCAGGATGGAAACCCACCCATTCATCAGTTTCGTAAACCTTTCTGCTTTCTTTTCTTTCCAGTGTTGTAGATATGTATGATGATGTGTCCTGTACTCTACATTCATTTTTATGATACAACAAGCCCTCTTCATCCCAGACTTGAGGACGTTGCGGAAACCTGTCCTCTGGTTGTAGAAGATGATTGGAGAGACTGTGGAGGATCATATGAGTGAATTGTTGAGTTTGTGTGCCTCCAAGCTCTTCTGACAGACTGAAACGGGAATATCAGTAGATAGATCCTTCACTGATGGACAGGACTGGAGAATGAACTTGGCATCACCATAATTTTCATGCCTTAAGCTTCTCACTATCAGCGTCTCTACAGCTAGGCCTGGAGATCCCAAAATGATTGATGGTAATGTACCTACAATCAAGTTCTTTTTCAGCAGGCTGGATTGTTTGCTACTACGATGCCACTTTGTCTGTTTTCTCAAACATCACATTTCTTGGTCTCCTTGGGCTTGTGAGATTTCATTTGGTGCTTCACCTTACTGTTTGCACAGTAATAATGTATTTCAACAACGCAATAGTGCATTGTGTTCCATTTTCATTTTGGAGCTCATGTACATTAGTTTCGCTGGTGTGGACTCTGATTGATTCCTGTTATGAACACTAGTGATGGCATTGAGACCTTCAAGACAACGAACAAAGCTGGCTCACACTTTCTGAAGGGCTTACTTTGTCTTCTTTTAGGTGTCTGTTTCCCTTGGGGGAGAGGGTGTGTGTTTGTGAACAACAGCGTTCTTGTCGCTGACAATCTGTCACTAGAGGTGGAATCAGTAATGACTTGAAGAATTATCCACTTTTTAGATATTCATTTACCTCTCAGACTATCTTCCTAAAGGCCAATTCACTCTGCACTAATAGATGCTGACAGCCAACCGATTACAGTATGTCACTTCTCAGACATTCCACCCCCCGACAAACACAGATTCAATATGTTCAGTTGGCGAAAACAAGCACTGACCAATGGTAACAGACACCGACAGGGGTAACACACTGATCCGACAAATGTGTGTGGTTGTCATGTCTATCATGCAGTGTGAGTTGGCCTTAAGAACAGTTCTCATGGTCATCAATCAAAATCTCAGTCAAATCCTGTAAAAGGAATAGATATCTAACTGCTCTGTGCTAGTAATATCTGTTTAGCTTTCATGTGTTTTGTATTGTTGTGCTACATAGGGGTGCCCCGTCAGTGGGCTATGATGGGAGTTACCCAAACCTCAAACCTGTCTGAAACATATGCAAAACCTTAAATGATCCTCTATCTACAATAATAGAGTGACACTTCTCTGTGAAAAAACTAAAAAGAAATTAAACATCTGTAATGACTGGCCAAATAAAAAGCTCAAAGTACTGTTTGTTTTGGTTGTTTTGTTTTATTTCATATGGTAAAAATGCATTCAGTGTATGAACAGTTTGTTTGTGTGCAAGGTATGACTGTCTTGTGTTACCTACACAGGACCCAAATAAATAAAATGTACAGTGTCCCAGGGCAGAGACTTTTTAAGTCTGAGCGCATTTGTCTTAAGAGCATCCCTAGGGTCTAGTTTTCATTAGAATCTCTTTTCTCAAATATGGCATCCATGCTTACTAGACATCATGAAATTTGATACTACTTTGGGTCATTCCATTGCCTTTGATCACTTAAATGGCAAAAAATAAATAAATAAAAAATTGCCTTTAATATTATTTTGAACATGCTGGTCTGCACAGTCGTTTAGGCAACAGAACTGTACTAGAAAGTGGGGCCATGGTTTCCCTCAGGAATGCATCCTCATTTCTACAGCCCTGAAACAGACTCCTGTTTTTAACAGCTATTACTTTAATGTTGGTGATTCCCAACCTTGGTCTTGGAGTACCTCTAACACTTAACATGTTTTATGTCTCCCTAATTCAGCTCATTAGTTTGTTGGTAGAAATTCCAGATGGAGGTATCAGATAAGAAAGACAAAAATAATTTATGCTATTGGGGGTAACTCCATGACCAGAGTTGGAAAACATTGCTTTAAAAGAGTGAAACCTTAATATGCTGCACATGAATGTTTCAAAAACTCTGAACAATGCGACTGGTTTTCCGGGCCTCTGCCTTAAGCTCGCCAAATGTTTTGAAGAACTGCTCCATTTCCTGTTGCAGAGTGGCGTTCCGTCTATCAGCATCTGCACGGGCTCGCTCTACATTTCTCATCTTGATCTCAGCCACACTGACCCAGCGCCGCTGCTGCTGCAGAGTTGAGCGCAGCCCTGCAACTTCCCCATGAAGTACCTTGTTCCTCTGCTCCAGCCTGGAGACAGAGAATGGGGTAAACATACTGTGTTCAGGTACACTTATTTATCAATCCAGTGTTTCTCAACCCTGTACATTGCACCAACACTGCACATTTTCGAACTCTGATCAAACACACCCGATTGAACTCGTCGGCTTGTTAGAGACTCAGACCTGAAAAGTAAGGTTACAGAATGTATACTGTTGGTGTGCATTCAGGAACAGGGTTGGGGAAAACTGCATTAATGCAGGAGTAGCCAACCCTGCTACTGGAGAGCTACCGCCCTGCACCATTCAGATCCAATAATGCTCCAACATTTATCTAATTGCTCACTTACCGAATTTAGTCTGTTTTACCATCACTGTTATTCCATTACCATTACACTGCTTTTTTGCAACACCTGGTATCAGGTACCAAGACTACTGACGAAGTGATCTTACCTGTTGATTTTTGCCTCATACTCTGCCTTTTGCTTGGTCATCTGTTGACGAAGCCCTGCAACAAGGCATTGCATTGCGTGTGAAGCTGGAAAACCCAGGGGCTCTTGGGGAGCATTTGGCAAAAAGACTTCGCTGCTGCCAGTGCTTAAAGGCGCATCTGTAGGAGCAGAGGATGAGGCAGGGGAGTTAGGACGAAGTTCTTCCTCTCTAGAGTCCATTCTGAATGAGGGGAACTGTCCTGGGGAGACATTGCAAGGGATTGCAGTTCCACCGCTCCCACAGCCCCCATCCAAAGGCACAATCTCACAGGAGGACCAAGAGCTGCTGCTCTCAGCCACACTGGCAGTACCTTTGGCCTCCCTGTCTTCTATATATTGCTCCCCCTGCTCCTCAGTAACTATGTTGTCATAGACAGATAAGGTACTATCCTGGGCTTCACTGCTGCCTCTATCCTGGGATTCATTTTCCCCTAACGCTTTCTCTGGTCCCCAGCTGGGTTCTTCCATGTCAGGCCAGCTCCTTGACTGCATAGATATTTGAACTCCAGCTTCCAGTACTTTGCTCAAAGAAGAACAGGCAGGTGGCGGGGTGGAGGGTGGAGGTACATGTCTTTTATGGAGAGATTCTTGTGCTGAGCTGTGCTGACTGTAGTTGTCGTAAATCAGAGCAGAGCTGGTTGGTGAAGAGTTCTCTTGAAGTTGTTGCTCTGTCTCTGAAAAATGGGTAATGTTTTTGTCACAAGGGCTTTGAAAAGACCCTCTCCTCTCTGTGTTTAGTGTTAGAGAGTGTTTATGTGGACAGGCAACAGTCTGATCTGGAAGGACCATGTGATCTTTGCTCAACAGAGGTTCCCTCAGGTGGGCAGGTGGTTCGTGCACCCATTCCACAAGGTTACTGTGTCTTTGTATGGGGTGGGTGGCTTGTAAAGATGTTTCAGGAGTGTTGCAGTTCTCTCGGGAGAAGAGCAGGTTGTGCTCACGGATCAGTTCAGACATTAGATGTTGCACAACTGCTGCCCCTAGTAAAGGAGAGAGGAATGTGTAAGTGCACAGTTCACAGATTTGTGCCAAACAGCAACATATAACCTCACAAGCATTACATAGAGTACATACACTAAACTTTAGAGCTATCTAAATCTCAGTTGAAACCAGAACTTTACCTGGATTCGCCACAGACCCTATTTATGGAGACCTAAATCTTTCTCACCTCCAATGATACTTTCTGGGTCCTCAGCTTTAGGCCTTAGGATATTTGGCCCGAAAACAGTTGCCAAGTTCTGGATACTCATCTTATTGGCACTGGAGTATGACTGGACATCATGTAAGAATCTGGAACAGAGATGTGTCATAGCCGTGTTATCTAAAGTGAGCCATGTTAAACTTTTAAGACTAGACACATCATTGCGCATTAGGCTAAAGCTCCAAATGCTAATATCTATAGAAAATCAACCCCCTAGAACTTTGGATGAAAAAAAATGGACTTCAGTCTTACTGGCAGATGTATTTCAGGAGGTTGAAGTTCGCTACAGGTAGCTCATAAAGGAGACTCCTCAAGTCTTGCAAACCCTGAAGTACAGGATGAGATTATAAGAGAATATTTTTGTTGGTTCCTAAATGACCAGAATGTAATCGTATTAACAAATTTCTTGTTTAATTTAGTCAGATAACATCATGTACTCCTCTTTGAAGTGAGTGATGGTTAACATGGTTGACTATACCTTTTCTCTGTCTGAGGGGATTCTTTTGCCACATACAAGAAACTCTTCATAGCGAGAAAATGGCACCAGAGGTTCAGGCAGCTCTCTGAGGTATAGCTTTAGCAAAGATGCTACTGTGTGAACATCTGTGCTGCTGGGAGAGCAAACATGTATTCACTACGGGAGTAAATTCACTCACACAAGTATTTGTGGTTAAATTTACTTATTTTGTTAAATTATTTTATATATAAATTATTTTATTTCATTTGTATTTATATCTCACACACACAAACACTGGTATTCCTATCATTATGAGGACATTACATAGGTGTAATGGATTTTCTACTGTCCAAACTGTATTTTCTATTCCCTTACCCTAAACCTACCCCTCACACAAAACTTTCTGTATTTTTACTGATACTACTATCCTTGTGGGGACATTTGGTCCTCATAATTTAGGGAATACCAGTACACACACACACACATACACACATATACAATATATACAGTAGTCAACATTTGAAGTGGATCAAAAAAGTTCAGAGCTCCAGCTAAATCAGTCCCTCCTTCCTGTGTCTAATAATATATATAGTATAGCACCGTTGGGAAAACTTTAGATTTGAAAATTCAGCTCCCTTTCAATTTATGTGTTCAACTGAATTGACCATGTATGAAGTTTCCTAGTAATTTCCTACTTATTGCCTACTAATTTCTGATATTTATTTAAATTCAAATTCTGAATTCTGCATTACATTTGCTACCTCAGTAAAAATCCAGAAACTGAACTGGAATTTTGAAAAATTTTCAAGTAAATTCTGTATGATGAATTCTGAACGGTAATCTTAGATAGCATGTATAGTTTTCAAATCACTGGGTTACCTTATGTTATGCAATTATGCCTGGTGAAGACAAATAATTGCAAATATGTACATTATGCTGATTTCGACTGCTCTGCTGTACCTCATTTCCATTAACGTCAATCTCTTACTTGTCAAAAGATGGTTTCTCCCCAGCATCAAAAGCTTCCTGTAGCTCTTTAACCAGTGTGGCCTGGCCGGGCTGCCTGAAGAGTCCCACCTCAGTGAGCCCGTGCTCTCGGATGAAATCAACACACTGCTCCACCACCAAAGGAGCCATGTGATCCCCATACCTCCTCTCATACAGGACTGTCTCCTCCAGCCTTTGACCAAATACACCTGTGATACAGGTATAGAGCTGTCAGTGTCAGACCCCGTTTAGCTCCTTAGTTACCTAATTTTGTTAACTGAGATGTGCTGAAATAGTGAGAGAGCACTTGCTATAAATGCAGTTATCCTCAAAAGCATAAAATGAAGATCCTGTTGAGTCCGCAGAAATAGGACAGACGCATAAAACAATAATAATGTTCTGCTAAAAAGCAGCTTTAAGATTAATGCACGCTGCAGCTGCACTGCACCAAAATCTACCTCTGTGTGTGATGGTGTGCGCTCTCCCTGCCTAATATTTAATACTCACGTCTTCTGAAGCTCAGCACCCTTTTTATCTTCCTGTAAGCAGAGTGAGACAGATAGCTTCCAGTCCGCTGGATTGTCTGCTTATTTTCAGGCATCTTTTCAGGCATGTTTTCAGTCTTTGTAGCGATCCTGAAACTGGCACCGAACCAATGTGAACCTTAATCCCTTTTGCTCATGTTTTGCAAACTTGTTTGGTCAAGAACTGGATGTTCCTTTTTCCTTTGCTCTTCCTCCTCCCTCTCTCTTGCCCTCCTGTCTGCAGGTAAGTTGATGAGGCTTAATGCACCGAAGAGAAGCTCTCTCTCTCTCTCCTGCTGATGTGCAACACTGACCCTCCAGCTCAGATATGCGTGCTTATCAGATATATCAGCATTCCAAATCAGATGACAGTCCTCATTCTGAAAGAGGAGGCATTGTTCAAGTGCACACCTCTTATTTTAAGCACATTTCTATAAAAAATGTTACTTCAGTTTCAATTCTAAGAGTCCAAAAGTTGAAGGGCAGAAGCTTAGCAAAGTTAACAATTTATCGAAAAACAAAGCATTTGTTAACAAATTTGGTGCCCTTAGTCCTGGTAAAAAGAGACAGCAGATTACATTTGTCGCAATTCAACATGCGTCCCAAAGAAGAGTTATGGAAGCACTTCCTCCACAGTGTTGTCCATCCAGCACTCGACCTCTTATACCGTTCCGGGGCTCTTCCTGCGGGAGTTCACTGATAAAGTGCTTTTCAAGTAAATGGAAAGAAGTCTGGTTCAAAGTAGATGTTCCCTGTGACACCGCCTCTTGAAGTGGACGTCTCAGTCCTATGCCATTGTTGATGGTGACATCAACAGAGACATGTCTGTTTTCGCCTCTGAGGGGAGGTTATGTTTGTCTGGACTTAATTGTCCACAGTCTCCAAAGACGTGAGTCAGCACCTCCTCGGTTTACTGTCAAATTAAGTCCGCCTCCCTAAATTAATTTCAAATACTGTTATACTTTGTCTCATTCACTGCTGTTGATTGTAAATTGTATTTCTCCCGTACTCTTTCTTTGTCTGTTTTCTGTCTGCTTTTTTCCAACCTCTTGCCTGTATCAAACCACTCCACTGCAGGGTTACTGGAGTGTGGCCAAGGTGGCGCCAACACCTTCTGTTTTCCCTATTTCTATCCCCTCACCATGAATCATTAACCCCACAAAACACAGATTGACTAAAAATAAATGAGCTAGAACTTTCTGCTGGTTACCTTCTGCTATATCTCCCTTTCTTTCTCTCTGTCCCCGTGTACCTCACATGGCTTGCATCCAAGAATTTTCCATTGGGCACAGCTGAACACACCCCTCAAACGCTTTTTATACATTTGTGCCCAGTAACTTGGCCCCTGATTAGAATCCCAGTCTAAAACAGATCCTTAGACACTGGTCCAGTGTGTGTGCAGTGCATGTGAATGTGGCTGTGTTATCTGTAGGGGCATCTCTCACCTTTTAGGAGCCCCAGAGCTGTGTAGAGTTATGTTGGAGAGGTAATGTAGGGAATTCATTGGGAATGTTAATCTCTCCTGCATGGGAAATAAGCAGCAAAATGGACTCTGCAGCTCAAGTTTCGCCTTCAGCTCAGATTTGCATGTACAGGGATAGACTTTCATATTGGGACTCAAGACTTTACAGATTGTGTTTGTAAAATAGCATCTACTGGGATAGCATTGGGGGAAGTCGTGGCCTAATGGTTAGAGAGTCGGACTCGTAACCCAAAGTTTGTGGGTTCGAGTCTCGTACCGGCAGGGATTGTAGGTGGGGGGAGTGAATGTACAGCGCTCTCTCCCACCTTCAATACCACGACTGAGGTGCTCTTGAGCAAGGCACCGAACCCCCAACTGCTCCCCGGGCGCCGCAGCAAAAAAAAATGGCTGCCCACTGCTCTGGGTGTGTGTTCAGCATATTTCAGTTATAATATTAATTTGCTTGCATATGTGACAAATTCTCTATATATTAATGCTATAAATTATACAATGAACCTTCTAACTTGGTACATAAAAAATACTAATTTTAAAAACTATGTAATTCAATTACTGTTTAACAGATATAGTCAAAGCTTTTATCATAATCCTACATCATGTTTTTCTAAAATCAAGGATTATATCTGTTAAATTACTTACAGATGCAATCAACACAATCAAAACTGCTCTGTGTATACCAGCTGAAGTCAAATTAAAATTGACAATTCATTCGACACTAAACTGAAAAGTCTTTTTGAATGATTAAAAACGTCAGCTCATACTAGCTGTTTGTTCGTTAATGGGATTATACTGTTTGCACTGAGCTGTTTTGATTCACTAAAAATAACCAGTTCATAAGAGTCATTTGTTTGTGAATCGGACTGGTTGCGCTGTGTTATTGCATGTAACCAGTTTATATTATCACATTTACTCAAACTCAGATAAAATATGACTTCTTTTGCCATGGGGCTGTAGATTTAGCAGGAGTGTGCTGCTACTGGAATAGACCCTTTGACAGATTGTGATCATGCGTTTAACATCATAAATCTAGCCATTTTTCCCCCTTTTTGTTTCTTTTTTTTTTTTTCAGAAACATCATGATTTTTTTTCCTTTTGCTATTTGGGCAAATGGGAACACAAAAGTTGTATTTGTTGTAGTTTCCGTTCACCAATATAAAAGTTTACCCAACTATGACTTCCACTGAGAACCCTGGAAATGTGAAAAGGGTCCATAGAGTAAAAAATTGTGATTGTGCTTTTTAGAATCAGTATCGTGATTGATAATCAATATTTTTATCCTGCTTTAATGCATACATTTTTACTTTATGAAAATAGATATATTTGTACGATTGTTGTGGTGTCTTGCACTCACAAAGCTACTTCATTGTATGGGATTGTATGGATGTGATGGTTCTCATGAGAAAAGCAAGGTGTACTGTAACATCATTATTCCCAGGCACACTGCCAAGATGGCCACACAGCTGCTTCCCACAACCCCTCACGCTCTCACTCCAACATATGCTGCAAGTAATAGAGGAGGAAAAGACTGAACCACTGAGAAACGTTTATGAGATGGTGCTTGAGCTCTAAATGACACTGGCTGAAAAACACTTGTCAACTTTGTTTGCAATGTTTTTAGCAAAAATCATGAGGAACATTCTCAATGTTTGTTGTTTTCAATGACATCAGCTCAAGCAGCATGTGTTATTTGTCATTTTGTGAGATTTGCGACAGGGTAGACAAAGCGCAGTCTGTGAGGATACCAGTCATTAGATGTGTAATGCATGGCCCATGATTTGGAAATGACTGGAATGTGTGTGTATTGCGTGAATGGGTTATGTCTATGGTTGGAGCCCTAAAGACTGATTGGATCTGCTGTTTCATTCTATTCAGACAGTCAAGTCACAGTGAATGTTAAACTATTAAGTGTTTTATCATAAGAATGACTTGCACAGGCCTGGATTTTCCAGAGATCACAGAGTGTATACACAAAATTAGTCAGATTTTCAGGTCCTAAACTACAGTGTGTGTGTGTGTACATACCTGTGAAAGGAATCCAGATGCCCTTATTTAGGCTCTTCAGCCATTCCTCCCCCTGACCACAGCTGTTTGACAGGAAGAAATATGAGCCAGGACTAACCAGAACATCCCTGTTTCCTCCTAATGGAAAGACAGTGTTAGAATACATGGACAAAAGTTAGTTTAATTACCCCACATCATCCAAATACCCAAAAGTAAATTCATGTAGATCCCAAACAAATTTTGCAGCACAATGTTCCTATTCCATAATCTTGATCTAGCCTGATGCACACATCCTATGTACTAATAATTATGTTATAACAAACACATTATTGACTATTATAGATCAAATGTAAGCAAATCAAAAGGACTGGTCACTTCATATATATATATATATTTTTTTTTTCCTTCTTTAAAATCCAGTACAAGGTGGTTTTGAATGTTTCCCTTGGTTTTGTCAGCAACCAAACCCAACATGACAAATCCACACACTCATAAACTGCCACTTTTTCCCCATCCTGTCACAGTATGACATGTCAATATGGGTGCTCTGTGGGTGCTGGGAAATTGGGGATTTGGAATTTACAAGGTTTGTTTGAAGAAGTGGATTTTATGATAAAGCGTTTTTTATGATAAATGTGTCTTTTTATACAACAATTCTTTGTCTTCAGAGTGCAGTAAGGCTAATGCTAAGTGCTGTGTATTGCTCTTTATTGTGTGAAAAATCTCTGTACTGTAGGTCCTTAATGGTCACTGTGTCCTTCAAGTCCATCAGTGAGTTAAATGGAAGACAGCCCAAGAAAAATCAGATCACTATTTCTTATCTTTAAGCACTGCAAGAGTTCAGCGAGGGAAAAGGAGAGCATTGATTTTCATAATTAAATTTAAAACTCTTGCCATTTTTTCTCCTTCATGCATTTCTTAGAGACAATATTAATCACAAGATGGGTCTCGGTCATAATTATAGTATGCCCCAGATTCCACTCACATTTGCTGGTAGAGTGCAATAATTAATTCCAAAGAGGACGCTATCTGTAACAAGACGAGAGCTGTAAAAATCCAGCTAAGTGGTTTATCAATACCGAGCACTTGCCGAGGCTGGCCTGAGCAATAATGATATTAAATGGAGAGCATTGAAATGCCATGAAAGGGCATTTCACAGATTCAGAGCAGTGACCGCCACAGTGGGGACCAAATCCTCTGACAGTCATTGATAAGTAGGACTTGCCAAAAATACTGGAAGTTAATATGGTTATTTCACTCAAAAATGAAAATAATTTTTTTTACTCTTCGTGTCTTTCCTGTATGACACTATTTTTCCCCCCATGGAACACAAAAAGAGATGTTTACATTGCTCTTCCATATGATGAAGCAACTTTGTAAAGCTCCAGAAAAGAAAAAAGAAAAAAAACTTACAAGTACCATAAAAGTAATCCATATGACACATGCTATATTTCTAGTCTTCTGAAGCTGGTTCTGAAGGATAATTTTACAGCTCTCGAATCTCAAATGGTGCGGATGATTTTCAGTGATTAAGAATCGTATGTCTTCAGAAGACCTGGAATATAGTGCAAAGTTGTATTTTATCTGGCTTTTTTGATAATTTTTTAAGTTGAGCAACATCCTTTCCCATCATTATCAGCATATGGAAAAGTGCTGCATTAACATTCTGCTTAACATCTCCTTTTATGTTCCACATAAGAAAGAAGGTTATACAGGTTTGGAACAACATGAGGGTAAATAATGAGAGTAAATATTGACAGAATTGTCTTTTTGTTTATTTCTTTAACAGACTTAAGTACTTGAAGATAACTA